ACTTTTTATGCACACTTCTCCCGTAGAATGTGGGAGATGAATTTTTACTTTTTGGTCGACAGGAACATGAATAAGAATGAACATCACGACATCTAAACGACGGGCGACAGGAACATGAATAAGAATGAACATCATGACATCTAAACGGCGGGCGACAGGAACATGGATAAGAATGAATATCATGGGCGTCAGGGAACGAAAACTCACCATAAACGGAGGTGTCTCGCCCTTTGGTCGCAACCGTGGTGCCATGCTTCAACTCGACGGTGAAATCTCCGGCATAGGCCCCGTCATCGAGGTCTCCTTGTGTCGAAGCGAAAACCCTAGGTGATCGCCGTCGCAATCGCCTCCTCCTCTTTACTTTCTTTCCTTTCTCTTCCTTTCTTTCCTCATCGGGTGGTTTTGAAGCATCGTCGATGGAACCGAGGTAGGGGCAAGGCTTTTTTTATTTGTAAATGGCATGCACACGTGGCGGTGTTCTTGCAAATGCGGCCCCTGAAACAATCCACCTGCATTAAAGAAGGCCCACCAACTGGACTTTCTTTGCGGAAAACCCCTTGGAGACGCAAAGTATCACCGTCGCGGTCCATCCTACACTGACGTGGCTACAGACGGCTAGGCAGACAACACCACGTGGGAGAAACGTGTCCCGTGACCGTGACCGTATATGCAGAGTGTCACTCATGTGGTCCATCCTACGGTGACGTGGCTACACACGGCGAGGCAGATGTCGCCGTGTGGGCGACACACGTATGAAAACGTCTCCGGTGACCAGAACAACTTCGTCAACCCGAAAATTGCAGTTCGTGAATTCGGTGACTTTTGTTTTTTGCACGCTTCTCCCATGGAATGCGGGAGATGAATTTTACTCTTGTTTTCTCAAAAAAAAAATATACTCCTAATAAAAATCCTGCTGGCAATGCATGGATTGATGGATCTCGATCGGGCGTGGGAGGGAACAAAAAGGTGGGCAGTACGGTTGGCAGTGGAGCCACGCGGGGCGGCAAGGACGTCGTCATGGGCCTCCCTTGTCGTGGAGCAAAGCGTGACAGCCAGCCACGTCGTCCCTACCACCACCGCTACCCCCGCCCCGATCCGGTCCGGTCCGGTCGCTAGCTACTCTCTCTTTGGCGATTGGCATGGCCACACTTCACAGTTGTACGCCCATATCCACTGCACCCTGGCCGACGCCAGTACGCCGCAGCGCGCGCCGCTGCTACTGAAATTTCCAGCAGCAAGAGCGAGCGCACACCAGCCATTTCCCTTCCCTTCCCCATCAACAACACGGCGCGCGCTGCGCGAGTCATTTTTTTAAAGCGTGTGAGAGGCTGTCGGCATGGCATCGTCAGCTCGCTCGCGGTCAAGGAGCACACTCCCGAGGGCATTTCTCCCTTCTCGCGGTGCTGCTAGCCAGGCAGTAAAATATTACAGATTCTAAAAAAAAGGATAGTACAGATTCTAAAAAAAAGGTAAAATATTACTAGTAGTACCCGACAAGTCGCCGGATGCAGGGAGGACGCAGGCATGTGGCATCCCACTAATAAGATATATATACTTTTCTCCGATTAAAATAGATCCAGCCGAGAGTGGTCGCTCGACTTTCTCTTGGTCTGCCATCGAGCACTGAACTGAACTGGATCGGGTTGAGGTACTAGCTACTCCCTCCGTTCGGAATTACTTGTCGTCAAAACGGATGTATCTAGACATTTTTTAGTTTTAGATACATTCATTTCTGCGACAAGTAATTCGGAACGGAGGGAGTAGCTAGGAAAGCATTGCTTGGAGCGAACGGCTACATGATTAGGCTTTCCTTCTTTCAAAAAGGTCCAGCGCTTTAGAGCAACTTCAACGCGTTGATAGATGTCTTTTTTTGTCCGTTTAGGTCGGCTGTTCGCTCAACGTTCATCCTTTTTAAGATTTGGATCGGCAGTGCGTCTAACGACCGCCACCCATTTCATGTTCGCATGTAAATTTGGAAAAAGACCTGTGATCATAGATCATGTCAGCAGCCATGTCGTCCGAAGTTCATGTCGGTATCATGCCAGTGCCGACATATAATGTCAGCTTAAAAACACCACACATCTCAGCTGGCGCACTTGCCAGCGGCCGGCACAAATGCCAGCACACAAAAAGGGGCGGGAGTTCGATCATGCCATCGCGGTTGTGGTCATGTCAGCACACTTGCCGGCGTAAAAAAGGATGACGCTCGCTGCCATGGTCACTCGTCGTCAAACTTGAGCATGTCGGCCTGCATCTTCTTGAACCACGGCCGCTTCCTTGGCGACACGGTGTTGAGATCCACCTTCATGATCTCCACCCCCGTCATCATGCTAGCGAGAGCCACTTCTTTCTCCTTGGCCTTGGCATTGACGGCCTCGATCTCTAGCATCCTGGCTTGCTTCTCCGCCTCCATCTCAAGCATCCTCGTTTGCTTCTCCGCCTTCATCTCAAGCCTCCTCATTTGGATCTTCATGAAGACGTTCATTTGTTCTTTCTTGTCTTGCCGGCGCTTCTCCTCCCTTGAGTCCTTTTTGATCATCATGTCCTTCATGATTGCGATCAAGGCGTTCGACGCCACATCCCGCTTGTCCTCCTTCTTGGAGTTGTTCTTCCCCCGCGGTCGTGGCTTCTCGCCGTCCCCAACCTCCTCCACGACCTTCTCTCCCCCCCCCCTCCCCACGCGACATGAGGGCGGCATATTGCGCCTCGGTCTTGCGGGGGCGCGAGGCTTGCCTTTGCTAGAGGGGGCAGTCGTGATGTCGGACGAGGCGAGGGTGGCGAGGCCGGTGGCGGCATCGAGGTAGTCGTCCATGGCGAGCGGCAGGAGCGCGCGCGGACGAGAGGGTCTTGGAAAAAGTGGAGGAAAATGGTGGAGGCTGCCACCGACTGGCAGGCCAGAGAGAGTAGTTGGCGCGCGTCGCGCACGTCCGCCTCGTGTCCGCGCCGACACAAATAAGGCTTCAAAATAGGCCGTGAATGGACCGACAGCGAACGAAAAGCGAATACGCGTCCATTTGGGTCAGCGCATTGAATCAACTTTTCTGTCTACGCTGACCCAAACGAACGCGCGCGGATGAAATGGGTAATCGCATTGGAGTTGCTCTTAGCCCGTCCTCCGACTCCGAGACCATCATCTCGAGTAGTACGCTGATGAGTCACCAAAACATACCAAGGGCATCGTAGATACCAATCTGAAATTCTTCTTCTGCCACCCGAGAATCGTAGTATTCTCATCTGATTCGCTTTGGATGCTCGTGCTTGGTAGTAAATGGTAATGCTGTGGGTTGCTAGTCACGTGACTGCGTAGTCTACATTTGTAGAGTATCGTTGATAAGCACCAAGAACCAACGAATCATGCATACAGGCTAACGGCTAGGACCGACCCAGATTGATTCGCATTGGCGGCAAGGCCTGTTACAGGAAGAATCCGATGAGTTTGTCCAGCAAGCTCGCAGGTACTCTTTTTGTCATAAACCGGTAGGAGTTGTCCGATGGAGCTAAACGCATCACGGCCCGGCCCTAGCTAGTCAAGATTGTACCAGATGGTTCAAGTTGACACTGTCAACTCCGCTTTGGAAATCGGAAAGCCCTAATAACATGATAACATGTCTATGATCGGAAAACGCCCTAATCGTGGACACCCTCACCCCTTGTGGTCACTATACCGTGAAGCTTTAATATACGATACCAAAAGGAAGTTCATGTCCTATAACAATTCCTTCTGGTGGAAAGATGCATACTTCGCCTGTCATTTTGGGAGAAAGAAAACAATTTCTATATAGCAGCAGTGCGTACTTCACTATGGAAGGCAAAATGGATGTGAGCAGAAGCAGGGCGGGCATGGCTCTATCAATCAAGCTCGACACATGTCCTATAACAATTTAGTAGAGCTCTATCAATCCCCTGTATCTCAAGTAGTAGATGCAAGTGCATCGCTCGTCAGTGTCGGATCCTCGGGGAGAAAATCTTAAATTCGGCAGATCACTGATAACCCCGTCATACAAAAATGATGCTCGAGCAAGAGCTTTACTAAACAGTGACTTCTTTTCAAATATAATGTACAGGCTACAGAGAATCACAAAAGTTCGTTTGAAAAAACCAGACCAACCAAAAGGCCAGCAAAAATTACAAATGAAGTGTTTACTGCTACGTGGATTATTTAAATCCGAGTTTCCTTCAGTTACAAGATGGTGAAAACGAAGCTTTGCTACTTACAGCCTGCGGTCTGCATTAAACGCCAAAAAAAAAGAAGAGAAGTTATATGCCTGGATACAGTGTAGTACTAGTCTTGCTGGAATCTTATGCATATACAGGAAAAAATGGCTAGTCGTCTCATTCACTATTGGTTTCACACTCTTCGATCAACCTGGTAGAAAATGAGGACCCATAAATGAAGTGCAATGATGCAATTCAACTGCTGCTTATCTGTCAGTTCCCAGCAGCTGTTAAGGGGCACAGGGCTAACAGTTCAGGAGTAAAGGGTATGCTACAGGGTACTGGTTGGCTGGTACATGCACCCTGAATTGGTAGGGGATGGGGTAGGACCATCTGCCTCTCATGATGCACACTTGTTCTACAACCACCCAACAAGGAAGCAGATTGTTGTCTAGAAAAGTGGACGTTCTGAACGCACTACCATACATAATAAACTGTAAAGTGAATACACTTAGTTGACAGCACTGAGAAACAGCCCTGCTGTCTTTCTTTCGGGAAAAACTACACTGCTGGTAACAGGGACTAGGCAAAAATATGCAAGCCAGACATTTTGCATGTTTAAATAATGAATTTGCACGCAATACCAGAAAAAATATCGAAGTACTTAGAGATCGTTCATACTAACAGCAAGTGTTTGAACTTTGAGCAAGAGTAGACAGCAAATAGAACCATGAACATCTCTTGCTGACAAAAATTTGAAGGAGTGGCAAAGTTTATATTAGACAAAAAGACTTGGAAAGGACTAATACCTTCAGTAAACAAAACCGTATGAAGACATCACGATTTTACAAAATACAGCAGCTCGTCTGGTCCCTGAAAAGGTAGATAGACGGTTTAATTAGCGACTGCAAGTCATGATAAACCAAATCCATTTAAGATAACGTCAATTTTGAAGTCCTGGTATTGCCTGCATTTACAAACAGATGTTACATAGTATGTTAGAATCTCTTGTTTGTGAGGGTACATGTTTGAAAATGTTAGCAGACTGTGGTGACTACTTGGATAGCCAAGTTCTGACAGGAAAACGAAACCCACTTCATAATTCTGAATCTCATTCCAAGTTATACAGCAAGAGAACATACTTCTTCGGATCTTCATAGTGTACTAAAGCCTCCAGAAATTTCTTCCAATATGGTCCAGTTTCCTGAAGGTTAACTTTGTCTGGTCCCCCAAGATAAGCTTGAACAATGAATTCATGGCTCCTCTCCCTGAACAGAGGAAAATGTGTCAGTTTGTCGTTTATTATGCAGTAAGATGAAATATATTGTGCTTAATCCTTTTAGACAGACCTTCCTTCATATCGTGACAACCATCCCAAGTAAGCTGCTCCAAAGTACATGGATGCAAATGGATTGTAGAGATCATCCACCGAGCTCACTGTGTATGCCGTATAGCCACAATCTCTACATACTCAAAATGCAAACTGCAAGTGAGGACAACTATATGGAAACTGCAATAGAAAAGTTGAACAAGAGAAGTGCCAATGCAGCCTTTTCTGATAGAGTATGCAACCAACTCAATGCAGTTAGATTCCAGTTTATTAGATCAGTACTTGCTCTGAAGTATGATTGTCTGACTTCTGAAGTAACCGAAAGTAGCAGATCAAAAGAATTCATGTACTCCCTCCAATCCATTTTAATTGTCAATACTTGCTCTTAGTCTTATATTTTGTACTTGGATCGCCAAATATGTACTCCCTCCGTCCCAAAATAAGTGTCTCAACTTTGTACTAACTTTAGTACTAAACTTGAGACACTAATTTTGGGACCGAGGGAGTATGTATGAAACAGTATACGCCAAATCTGTAGTTCAGGTTCAGCTATCATGTGTAAGGACAAAATAATAAGTAAAGCAAGGATAACTGGTAAAGCAAAGAGTTTCAGGATTGTCAGGGCGAACAATATCGTTCAAAATGTTGAGGTCCTACTCAGACTCCACAGTCACCTCACCAATAATTGTTTGGATAAAGTGTACAGGTAAATGGCTAGACACAATGTCACGCTCACCTGGAAAGCCATGCAGCAGTAGGGTAATCTATTCCCATCAATCCTGTCCGAGAACGTACTCCATGGACAAAGCGCATACTGCTCACCTCTGCAAGAGCAGCTAGGGCTTCCTATGCAGATTTGAAACAGAATAGACGGTTCAACAAATGTTAGGATGCAGGAGCTATAAGAAATTCAGATAATATATTTGTTGTTACTGGGATAGCCCTACAGGCATCTACATAGTCAGTACCGCTGGAATTTCAATTGGAAATATCTCTAGTCACTAATTTTACAAGGAAATGGATGCTAATGCGATTAGCAGACATTACTTTCAAATATTTACAGAAAGAGAGAAACAAGGGAAATGTTTATGATAACTAACAGCAGAAGAAATGCATTGGCTAATATACTGTTGCATGAATTGAGAGCCAAAATATGATGAGCATAGTATGTGATGATCACTCATGCTACAGTACTATACATACTTACGTAGGCCTGCGAAATGCAATACAAATGCATGCAACAAAACAGAGGTTTAGGAGCTAAATGGTTCTACAGGATGCACAGGTATTGGTATTTCAATGCATTACAGATTTGCTATAAGAGAGGTCTCAGTTGATGACCAGATACAAGAGCAACATGTTTAAGCAAGTTCGAATAGAATGCACTGACTATCAACCCAAAACTTACCGGCTTTACTCCTCTTGAGCTGAAATGGCGAGATATGATTATTTCAGCAACAGCCTGAGATTAAATTCAGAATCACGTTTAGAAACTGACATAAAACCATTAAAAAAACTATACTGATGATATGATATAGAGTCGGGGCGGTTGTATCAAGTAAGGTGTGAACTAATGGTTATCTGAAGAATATGCAGATGTGATGTTTACTGTAGCTTTACGTACAAACATATGTTTGTCAAGTTTTAGCACGGCAAAGAGGGCACCCTACTAGTGAAAGGAAATGTGAAGTAACTGCACAATTATTAAGAACCAGCCATACCTTGACCTCAACTCGAGAAAGATACGGTCTCTTCTTGGCATCATGCGAAAATCTGACATTTCCACGCCGCTCGCCAGAATTTGTCCACTCCTTCAACACGTCAGGCTGACTCCACATTCCACCCATATCTTCCTCTGACACTTTGGAATCCCAATATACCAGCTGTGTTCCTAACACAAAAATGATAACCGGATGACATGTTGAATGTAGTAAGAAGTTTCTCCGGAATCAAAATAGGGATCAGCTGTTGGAGTACATGCTTTATTTTAAGTCTTTCCTATATTTTACACTCCTTGAATATAAAAAACTAAAGAAAAAAACAAAATCAACAGAGCAAAATGTAACCTGCAGTTGAGGAATTTTCTAGGAGATCAGGAGCGAGCTCATTGAAACTGTCTGGTTGTCTGCTAACAAAAAAGTGAGAAACAGTTCATCAACAAGTTCGATCCTGGATGTAAGGTAAAACAAACAAATAGCTTTTGCGCAAAATCATAACTTCTGAATTTTAATTCATTGAACAGTTTCTACATTTCTAAAATAATGGACATTCAATGGGTTGCAAGGAGTTGACCATGCAGTTCATATAGTTTACTTAGGGCATGTACAGTGCACTGCTAAGTGCTTTTATATCGGTGCTTAAAGAGAGATGAAAAACCACATCATTTAGCACGCATGCAAGAGTCACCTTCTCACATACAAGCACATAGTACAACATTAGCACCTTATCAGTCATAAGTGGCAAGAAAACTGTTTCTTTCATTAAACACTTCTTCACGCGCTTGCATTGTATGTGCCTTAATGATACAATCATCAAGGAACATCCTTTGGATTGTTGTGAAACAAAAAAACTGGTTATTTCATTAGTTTGATACAATATAAGTTTTGTGACATACAACATACATTTTCTCAGTCAAATCTACAGTCAAAATTGAGCACAAAATATGAAGGGGGCAAATAAATCCAGACGGAGGTAGTACCAATTTAACTGGAACACTGCACTACTGCAGCGGCTACAGAAGTCCGCATTATCCTGCTATAGTGGGTACAGAGAGGAGTATGCTGAAGGACTGGGACGCCGCCTGCAATGACAAGGCAGGCTGGAGGTGGTGACTGCACCATCGGTTTCTTGCAAGATACTCCCTCCGTTCCAAATTACTCGTCGTGGTTTTAGTTCAAATTTGAAACCATGGGAATCAAAGTAGTCAGTCCGCATCGCAATTGGTAAGCTTTTTCATGGCACGGCCCAGCAGCTTAGCTGGGTGTCCGTGCCCGCTTACACCCTCATAATTCTCCGGTCCCAATTTATAGAGGTGAAACTTAAGATTAAAGCTACTGTAAACTTGTATCATGTCAAACAAGTAAAGTTGTCGCTTATGGTTCTGTTATTTCGAGGAGCTCAACAATTTTTCCCAAACTTGAGGTCTTACTAGGCTTACATATTTAAGCTCAAAACCTTAAAGAAAAGACCTTAATAGACCACAAACTATAAGAGAAACAAATTTAACCAAGGCAATACACTGAGCACTGAACAACATAACAATGTTGGAAGTAGAATACGAAGAGAGATTTTGAAGAATAAAACCTCATAGAGAGCAAGGTCTCTTTCACATAAAGATAACGTTCGAAAATGGGGGCAGATGACTTGTGAGTAGCTTTCTTTCTGCCTCCCTTGTAAGCTCTAACGACAAATTCTTCAGTTCTTTCTCTGCAGCATTTTGCCAAATAATTGCGTTTAGGAGTAGAAAGATACAAGATGATAAAGTATATTAAATTTAAAAGTGAAACATAATCTACCGGAGAAATACATACTTTTCATCACATGAGAAGAGCCACTTTGCATAAGCAGCGCCAAAGTAGACATTTATAAAAGGCCAGTAGAGCAAATCAATATTGTCTTCAAGTTCAATGTCATAATTCTTGTAACCCAGTTCCCTTATCAGAAGTGATGAAAACAAGAAGTTCGGTTAAAGAATGTAGATGAGAATGGAAGATACATAAATTAAGTTGACCAGGCCTGTTGACTGTTGAGTACCTGCCAAGCCATTGAGCAACTTCTGGTGTCACCTGCATTATGCCCATCTTAGTCTCCTTAGTCTTGCGATCATAGTCATCCACAAAGAGCCTCCTTCCACTCGCAATTTCTGCAAGGGCACCTATCATATACTGCACAAAATAAGTAGCATGCTTAGCAAAGTCCACCAGGATAGTTACCAACAGCAAGATAGCTGAACTCTATCACTACAATTGTCATGTCTCATACCCACATAATTTTTACTCGTCTACAAAAGATAATGTGTCATGAAACATATGTTAGCATACAGTTGTACTGCACCACTCACTTTTCCGATTACTGTCACAAGTGCAAATGATGATAAAACATAGAGAAATAGAATCAATACCGGGTCTAGCTGTGATTTGAAATGCCTCTGAACAGTAATTGCAGCAACTGCCTGAAAGAATCACGAGTGTATGTAAGAACACTTGAAACCCAGCATTATACAAACAACAAACATAATAATTATCAAAACCAATAGACCCCAGCTTTGTTATTATTTTTCATAGCTCGGCAAACTTCAGCACTGCATTAATAAACTTCTAAACAGTCATTTAACCACTTCCTTGAATATAGCAAGAAACCACCATGTTTGACCACTTATCTCACAGCAGCGATAGCATTTACCTTGGTTAAAGTTCAGCAAAAAATTCGCTAGCAACTACTGATAGCCTGCTTTTAGTGCCACATTCTAGATCTCAGATGTGAAATGATTATCAAAATGAATAAAGCAAACAATGGATAGACCGGATATGTCAGACATTTTGTTTTTCAAAGAGGTTATCTTAGACATGCAGAAATGCAGCTTCAAAAAACAGATATATAGTGATCTAGCAAACAGTACAAGTATCCAACAGCTAACGATAACAAAGGTTTACACAGTTAGGCTGATCACCCACCATAATTTCAGTTTGTGTCAGATATGCCTCGCCATCAGGATCCCGTGATAGGTGAACTTTCTGTCCCTGTTCTTCCCCAGCATCAATCCACTCTTTACTTACATGAGGATCTGCCCACATTAATTGAATATCATCTGGATCCAAGCAGTCATCCCAATATTTAAAGCTTACAGGCATCTTGTACTGATCAATAGCAGTTTCTGCCAATCTGCATTGAAAACAATAAACAAGTAAAGCTTAGATGCCATATGGTACCTTTCTCAAAGTACAAAGAATTCAACGACCCAATTAGCCGTTTGTTCTGGACTTACATAGGGGGTCAGACAGTTTTGACAGGATAACAGGTCAGTAAGTACATTGGAGTCTGGAGTTAATATTTTGCGCAAATGCAATCACATAATAAGAGGAAAATGCAATGGCTGGTTGCATTGTATTGATAGAAATGAGGGCATCTAAGTATCTGTAAACCAAACTGTGCACTCACTCGAGATGGAAAATCGTCATATCCTGTACATGTATGCATCATACTGCAGATCGTAATAAACACGGCAAAGTAAATGTAACATGAAACTAATCACTGAAAGTGAAGAGAAATATGGTGAACACACAGTATCTTATGTGCACACAGCACACAGAAGTCATCACCAAAACAAGTACACAGAATTCAGCAAGTCACACCACACCCACACCATGACACCAACAAGCAGCGCGCACTCAAACTGGAGATTCGCGTAACAAGAATTGGAAAGATAATCTGGGGTCAGGGGAGATGATTATTCATAATCTACACACAAAAAAAGCTCGCAGAAACTGTACAATCCCCACAAAGTTCCATATGACGATCAAAATTTCCAAAAAAACTACTTCCACAGGCACATAACATGAATCATGAATCATGATCACTGTTTCCAACGTGGGATAACTTTTTAGGTGAAAACTGTGAGATAACTTAAATTCGCAACATTATAAATCGCACTGAATTAGAACTAGCTATGAACAATTTACACACTAAATCAGTAAATCTTCGATACAGACCCAACTCCTGCGAAGGAACGACCGACCAACCAACCACCAACTAGCAGCAGCCTTAGCGTCGGACGCACGCACGCTGTACCTGTACGCACGCACGCACGGCGAGATCGCCAAAAACAGCAACCGCATTGGCCTCGTCAACCCGCCACCAAACAGCACGAACGCACCGAGCGAGCATCGCACGCAACAACGAAAAAATCGCACCTCGACACCTCGCGATCTCAGTCGTAACCTCCATCAATGCACGACACAGCAACCAAAATCGGCGAAAGGAAATCACTAGGCGCTACCAAAAAAAACCTCGCTCCCACGGCCGAGCACCGAAGAGAACGGGCCGAGAAGAGGCTGCGGCGGCGGGATGGCAGAGGGAGCTCACCAGGGCGCGCGGAGGCAGTCAGGAGGGGAATCGGGGGTGTTTCCCGCCGCTCGCCGCCGGCTCCTCGCGATCCGAAGGGGATTTGCGGGTGGCGACGGTGGGGTGGGGTGGGGTGGTGGGAATGGGGAATTGGCCAGAGAGAGAGAGGAAGGAGAGAGAGGCGCGTAAAGTGGAAGACGGGAAGGGAGGGTGGCAGAGCAAAGCGCGAGTGCGGGCGGTACAGTTTAAACGTGGGCCTGCGCACGTGTCTGGTGGATTTCGGATTTGAAATCACAGTCGTTGAAATTGGATGGGCGTCGATTTCTTGCGAATGAAGCGACGCTGTTTGGTCGTTTCGGATAACTATTTTTCGCCGCTCACCAGTCTAGATCAATTTGATGTTTGCTCGTCATCCAATGATTTTTCCAGTGGACTTCTAAAAAAAAGAATGTTTTCTCCGGTGGAACGCTGTAAAAATTAAATGAAATCAATGCCGGGTGACAATCTGTTCGACTGTTCGAGGATCTATTAGTGCAAAAATGTTGTATATGCTAGTGTAATGCTCCCGTGTTTCCCCGCTAAAAAATGCTCGCGTGTTGCATTCTTTTTCATGATGGAAGATAATGACTTTCATTTTAGCCTTTGCTTTAGATTGCCACATCTAAACGCAAAATTAACTAAATTATGTGGATATTTGGTTCAAGCCACACACTTAAAAGATTAGTTTTGAAAGAAAAACAATCAGTTTTGTTAAAGCACATCTAGATGTGTCATAAGTATTGCACATCTAAGTCATATGTCATTGGTCTTACATTAAGATTCGTGTGAATATTTTCTTTTTCTTTTTTTTCTCTTTATGCTTGATTCACTCACTTAGATGTGCAATAATTAGAGCACATCTAGATGTGCCCTAGACACACCCAAAAAAAATCCAAATTTATCGATTGATCATACTCTCGCATTGGTCGCACCCTCCGTGGGCACCACGTACCACGTGGACCACTTTCAGAAATATTTCGGGCATCATCTCTATCCCCTATCTTTCTCGTAGATCCCCGTTTATGTACAAGGGCGACATTGTATACAAGGTTGGAAAAGGCGATAGGCGTAAGCAAGGCGGTTGGCCTTCGCCTAGTGCCTAGGCGGTGATTAAGTGCCCTAGGTGCGGCCTAGGAGGTAATATAGTTTTTACTATCGGGTGTATTTGTGATTATTATATGTCTTGATATTAATTTAGGGCATATAAATTAGTTAATTATGGACTACTGCCATTGGAATATGATACATTTGGCATATCAGTGGAGTATGACATGATTTCTGGGTTGCATGGAAAATTTCTTTGCTTGCCCTGCCTAGACCTCCATTTATGCCCTAGGCGAGGCGTTTGGCCATTGCCTAGCGCCTAGGCGTGCCTAAGCACCTCCTAGGCACTGCCTTTTTCAACAGAGATTGTATATCTCGCCATCCCCGCAACATGGCACCATGTGTCACCGCCAACGTTGTTGGGAGGTAATGTTGCAGCCCGCTGATAACCCACAAGTATAGGGGATCGCAACAGTTTTTGAGGGTAGAGTATTCAACCCAAATTTATAGATTCGACACAAGGGGAGCCAAAGAATATTTGAAGGTATTACCAGTTGAGTTGTCAATTCAACCACACCTGGAGATTAATTATCTGCAGCAAGTAATCAGTAGCACAATAGTTTGATAGTTTTGATAATAGTGACAGCAGCAATAGTAACAATAACAGTGATAGCAGTAGTTTTGTAGCAAGCGTAACAGCGATGACATGAGTAGTAACTTAGCAGAAACAATATAAGATAAATTCGTAGACATTGGATCGGTGACTTGTTGGATGATATTCACCATGTGACAGTTATAATCTAGGGCAACACAACACTAGCTCCAGTTCATCGATATAATGTAGGCATGTATTCCGTAAATAGTCATACATGCTTTATTAAAAAAAACTTGCATGGCATCTTTTGTCCTACCCTCCCGTGACAGCAGGGTCCATATTGGAAACTATGGGATATTAAGGCCTTCTTTTAATAGAGAACTGGAACAAAGCATTAACACATAGTGAATACATGAACTCCTCAAACTACGGTAATCATCAGAAGAAGTCCCGGTTATTGTCACTTCGGGGTTACCGGATCATAGCACGTAGTAGGTGACTATAACTTGTAAGATCGGATCTAAAACATGGATATAATGATGATAACATAAACGGTTCAGATCTGAAATCATGGCACCCGGGCCCAAAGTGACAAGCATTAAGCATGGCAAAGTCATAGCAACATCAATCTAAGAACATAATGGATACTAGGGATCAAGTCCTAACAAAACTAACTCGATTACATGATGAATCTCATCCAACTCCTCACCGACCAGCGAGCCTACGAAGGAATTACTCACTCCCGGTGAGGAGAATCATGGAATTGGCGATGAAGAAGGGTTGGTGATGACGAAGAACGAAGATCCCCCTCTCCGGAGCCCCAAATGGACTCCAGATCCGCCCTCCCGAGGAAGAACAGGGCTTGGCGGCGGCTCCATCTCATAGATTGCGATAATTCTTTCTCCCTGATTTTTTTCTCCAAAAATAGGATTTTATAGCGTTGGTTTCAGGGTCTGCGGGGCCACCAGGTGGGGACAACCCACCTGAGCGTGCCAGGAGAGGGGGGCGCGCCCTGGTTGGTTCTGCCCACCCAGGGGCCCCTCTCCGATAGGTCTTGGCTCCAGAAATTCTTATATATTATATAAAAATTCCTCGCAAAGTTTCGTTCCATTCCGAAAACTTTTATTTCTGCACAAAAACAACATTATGGTAGTTCTGCTGAAAACAGCGGCAGTCCGGGGTTAGTTTCATTCAAATCATGCAAACTAGAGTCCAAAACAAGAGGAAAAGCGTTAGAAAAAGTTGATACGTTGGAGACGTATCAACTCCCCCAAGCTTGAACCTTTGCTTGTCCTCAAGCAATTCAGTTGATAAACTGAAAGTGAAAAAGAAAAACTTTTACGAACTCTTTTGCTCTTGTTTATATAAATAAGCTTAAACAACACCCGGTTTTTCAGCCAACATTATAACTAACCATATCGACAATAACTCTTAAAGATTATAATAACTCATATAAATGACATAATCAGCTAGCGAGCAATAATAAGATATCTCAAACGACAACATGTTGTCAAAACAACCATGATATAATATGACAATAGTGGTATCTCGCTAGCCCTTTCTGAGACTGCAAAACATAAATGCAGAGCACCTCCAAAGTTCAAGCAGTGACCAAACATTGTAATTCATGGTAGAAAAGATCCAGTCATGATGCACCCAACATTAGCTACACATAATGCATAAATCATGACAACTGTGCTCTTCTTAGTTTCTGGCGCTTGTTTTAGAAGGCGATGACACAACATAAAAGTAAATAGATAATTCCTTCACAGAGGGAAGCAGTGATTTGCAGAGGTGCCAGAGCTCAATTTTTAAAGCAGAGGTAAATAATATTTTGAGACATGCACCCTTCTCATTTACTTCACGATATTAGTTATCAATATCTCCCATGCTAAACAGGCTAGTGGCGGTTTCCAAGCAATAAAAGTAAGGTTTACTCCATTGGGAGTTTTTGTTTGATTATTCGAGTGATTAACTATTTTTGTATTTTGCAATTTGGGGCTGGTGTTGGGATCTACGGTAGGGTGCGTCGACTGCAAATTAAAATTTCCTACGCGCAGAACAACCAAGAACATGCTACGGGAGATGGATCACAGTTCGTTACCACGTGCA